TCTTGGTGACTATGGTTCCAGCTGCCTTGAGATCATTGACAAGATCCTCCTGTGTAGTTCTTGGCTGATTCCTCACCGTTCTCATGATCATTGCAACTCCACGAGGTGAGATCTTGCATGGAGCCCCAGGCCGAGGGAGATTGACAGGTATTTTGTGTTTCTTCCATTTGCGAATAATCGCACCAACTGTTGTCACCTTCTCACTAAGCTGCTTGGCGATGGTCTTGTAGCCCATTCCAGCCTTCTGTAGGTCTACAATCTTGTCCCTGACATCCTTGGAGAGCTCTTTGGCCTTGGCCATGGTGGAGAGTTTGGGATCTGATTGATTGCTTCTGTGGACAGGTGTCTTTTATTCAGGTAACAATCTGAGATTAGGAGCACTCCCTTTAAGAGTGTGCTCCTAATCTCAGCTCGTTACCTGTATAAAAGACACCTGGGAGCCAGACATCTTTCTGATTGAGAGGGGCTCAAATACTTATTTCCCTCATTAAAATGCAAATCAATTTATAACATTTTTGACATGCGTTTTTCTGGATTTTGTTGTTGTTATTCTGTCTCTCACTGTTCAAATAAACCTACCATTAAAATTATAGACTGGTCATGTCTTTATCAGTGGGTAAACGTACAAAATCAGCAGGGGATCAAATACTTTTTCCCCTCACGGTATGCTGTCTCATCGTTGTCGGTGATCATGCCTACCACTGTTGTGTCATCTGCAAACTTAATGATGGTGTTGGAGTCGTGCCTGGCCATGCAGTCATGAGCGAACAGGGAGTACAGGAGGGGACTGAGCACACACCCCTGAGGGGCCCCCGTGTTGAGGATCAGCTAGGCGGATGTGTCCCAGGGTCCTTAGCTTAGTGATGAGCTTTGAGGGCACTATGGTGTTGAACGCTGAGCTGTAGTCAATGATTAGCATTCTCACATAGGTGTTCCTTTTGTCCAGGTGTGAAAGGGCAGTGTGGAGCGCAATAGAGATTGCATCATCTGTGGATATGTTGGGGCGGTATGCAAATTGGAGTGGGTCTAGGGTTTCTGGGATAATGGTATTGATGTGAGCCATGACCAGCCTTTCAAAGCACTTCATGGCTACAGACTTGAGTGCTAGGGGTCGGTAGTCATTTAGAATGAAAGTTGGTACCGACATGAAGCCTATTGTGTAAAATCATTTTGGAATATACATACAATGCATCATCCAAATTGCATGATTGCCTATGCCTACACATTCTGTAAGTGGCTAAAGGAAAATGTTTTATTTTTTAAATCCTAAAACACCAAATTAGGCCTACCTTATCATAAATGAGGCCATCATCAGCGTCAATCGTGAATTATAATTCTTCATGTTTTACAGGTGAAACGTCCATGCTGCATGCATGCCAACCATTTGATCCCAATCAGTTTCATGGGAATATGCATTTAAATCTTCTTGAATGATGTAAGGGTGGCTAACCGGCCTAACTAATCGAATTTTAGATCAGATGGAGTTAAACACAACCAAAGCATGAGCAGAAGGAAAAAAAAATCTACATTTCAGCACAATCATCTTAAATTGTCATAAGAAATGACATGGTGTTTTTGGTAGACTGACATTATCATGCTATTGTATTCGGTTTGTTATGTAAAATACTAATTAATCATTAAGTGATCTTGCGAGACATAGCACCATTCTGAGAAGTGGCGGCGCATCAGCAACATTACACCCCTGATTGACTCATTTCATATGTGGGTAATTCTTCAACTATGGTACTATTTGAGCTAGACAGTTTCAGAAAATAAAAACATTTCTACAAACAATTTTTTAGTATCAGTTGGTTTCTCAATCTGTCTGGAAACCTTCCCTGAAGTTGGCTGTGATGATTTGTATTTACTAATATATATTTTTTGCCATTTTTATCTGACAGTCCAAGAAAACGGTCATTTCCATCACATAACAAAACATGTATTTTTAAGAGAAAATAATGAAATATCTTCTGTTATAAATATATTTGATTAAATAGCACACACATATCTGTTCAAATTTGTAATTTATTATTTTTTTCAGAAATGTAACTGTAAAGATTTTACAATGTTTACACTAAAAAACACCTAAAACTAGGTCAATGGAACATTTCATTTTCTTATCATAGCTCAAAATCATATATTTCTCAAAGTGTATACACAAATCTTAGCCCTAACTGCACAATTATCAACACCACTGAATATAGTTGGTTTGATTGTATGTTTTTTATATGTTTTACTTTAAAATATGTGTTGTGGTGGAAATGACATGGCGTGGCGGAAGAGACAGTGTGTGGCGGAAATGACAGATAGGCAACTTCCAATTAAAAACAATTTTTCTACTGCTCTATGTGGTGAACCAGAGCAAATCAATAAGCAACAGCATTTGTGAACAAAAACATATCACCAATATTTTAAAATTAAAAACAATTCAAAAAATGAAAAAACATGAATTTGTGTTAAAAATCAGCAAATCATTTCTTCACTGTTTTCTACATGCTGAACTAGAGCAAACTAGTACAAACTAGAGCAAACCCTTTATGTCATCATTACCTTAACATAACCTTAATATAACCAGTTGAATAACAGATAAAATAGGCAATATATTTTGAAATTGAAAACTTATATGCCTATGCTGAACCAGAGCAAACACTCTGTACTTAAACATTACTGTCATGTGTGTTATATCGTAAATCCATATACTGTCAAACGTAATCATGTGGAATAACAAGTTGAATCTGACTAAATAGACATTGTATTTGCTAAATACTGTATCTGTCAAACTTGCATATGGGCCAGAGGTTCAGTTATGTTTCATGGTCAAGAACAGAGCATATTTCTTTCCAAACTGTTGGCTCCACCATCACATGCCTCTTTGTTACTGGTTGAGGCTCTGGGACCAGCCTGATCACATCTTCTGGCCGGTACCAAATAACATAGTCTCTCATAGGCCAGAAGAACTTGTTTTTGCCAATATGACTCATGGTTCTCACCAGAGCACAACCCTCAGGGTCCACATCCTGTATAATGCCAGGGTAAGGATCCCCATCATACCGTACCACACACCAACTTCCAATCAGTCCCTCATGCAGGTCTATGATGGGTTGAGATGTGCTGGTAAGTGTGCTTGAACTGTACACCTTTGCTTTTGCCTTCGCAACCCTTTTTCTCCCTCTTTTCCTCTGTGGAGTTCTCTCTGGTGTAGGCTCACACAGCTGAGGTGTTTCAGGGATGTCTTCTGCATTAACACTCATGTTGTCTGGTGATGGTGGTGGTGTTGTATGTGCCATGAAACTATTCACTGCTGAGACCATTTTCCATTTCCTACGTCTGTTTCGTTGAGAAATTCGCCACTGTCTTCTCATTTTTCGTTGTTCTCTTTTCGGCATTTCTGTCACAGATTTAACAACACCTTGTTGCTTTTTCTTCAGGTATCTTTCTTTGTCCTTCTTGAGGGACTCTGCATATTTAAGTGGATCTGATTTTATTCTTTCTCTGTATGATCTTGACCTCTGTGCTGTGGTATTGCTTGCCATCTTAAAGAAAGAGCCAAGACATCATGTCAAACCTACTTATCTATTGTTCTCTTATTTACCAACAATATTGTAATATTGTTAAAACTGTTTTTGAATTTAGTATCAGTATTATAGCCCAAATAATTTGCTGTTTAGCACGAACAATGTCATTTCCACCACAACCTGTCTTTACCACCACAATGAACACCGTGGTGGAAATGACTGTGGTGGAAATGACATTTCCCCACTTTCCCTCTAAAATCTCATGCTATGTTAGCCTGCTAATATTAGTTTTAGAGTTAGCATTAAATATACACAAATTACACATTATTAAATTAAATGTATCCAGTTATTTTTACGTCCATGTGAAATATGAGCTGTTTGGAAATGACGACCAATAAACATACTCTCAGTTTTACTCATATTTACCTTGATTTTTCTTCTTTTCATTACCCCCTGTAGAGGACACCATTTCATCCAGCCATGTGTTCCACTGTGGAGTTTCTGTTGCTATGGTTACTAAATATACAAACCTAAAACACTGATCCCAGGATTCTATTTTGTACAGTGTGGTGGAAATGACAGTGACCCCTAGGGACAAGGGTTCTATTTATGAAAAATATAGGAAAATGTGAATATGTATCACAATATATAATATGTAGAATTGAAATAAATGGTATTTTATCATTTGTACTTGAAATCTACATTATTTAAATATTTAATTTAGAATTAAGCGAGGTTGAAGATACAAAGTCTGGCTTAGGGACAGAGGGAAAACAGTAAAAACCATGCATAAAAGGCCTCATATTATATAATAAAAAGAATGATTGAGCCATGATACATTTTTTATAAGTTCCCCTTAGGGTGGAGTAAGTATGACAAAAACAAAAAAGAAGAAATGTTTTTTAGTTTTTATTATTTCATCCAGGGACAAGAAAAGTACCATAGTTAAAGAATCACCCATGTATATACTGTATTCTATTCTACTGTATTTTAGTCAATGCCACTCCGAAATTGCTCGTCCTAATATTTATATATTTCTTAATTCCATTCTCGTACTTTTAGATATGTGTGTATTGTTGTGAATTGTTAGATACTACTGCACTGTTGGAACACAAGCATTTCGCTACACCTGCTATAACATCTACTAAATATGTGTCTGTGACCAATACAATTTGATTTGATTATAAAGGTTGGATGACTTTGGAAGTTTCACGTAACCAGAGCTCTATGAACTAAGTGGGGTATATATTTTTACACCATTGCAGCAGAAGCGCGAAAGATTTTGGGCTGACCCAAAATCATTCGGGGCTAAAGCCCGAAAGCCAGGTCCTGGTGACGTCCATGGTTCCCACCCAGGTGTCTTGAACGCAATGAAGACGAAAGTCGGAGATTTCCGAGTTCCCAGTTGTTTTGAATGCGGCAATAGAAGCATGGCGTTGGCGACGCGTATGCACAACGTCATCATATTAATCGTCATCAGTAAGCAAGCACCATAATAAACCTTCGAGTCGACATAATAAACATTGATTCGGAGGAGCAGATCCATCTACGTTGACAATATCCTGTGAACTTGATGTGCAACTATCTTTTTGACCTGAGACATTTCCAGCAATCGTTGACTACTTTCTGGATGTTTTTCTAGATATCTGCTGTGCATATAAAGTCATTTTTTTGTAAAGACCAACCGCAGAGGTTCGGGTTGCTGTCAAACGATCTTCTCGCTACCTTCGCTTTATAGGCTACCTACATCAGAAAATGTAACTGGCAAAGTTGGGAAATATTAACATTGCATTGAATTATCTCCGGAAAGTAGCGAACGTTCGTTTTTTTGTGGTTATTTCCTTCAAAAATTTCAACAGCTCTGTAGTGATGGTGTTTCCCTTGGTGAATCTTTGTGCCAAGGAGGTGGTGAGTGATCACAGTTCCTCTCTGGGCTGGCTTGGTTGTGTACCCAGGGAACTGTATAGACCTCTTCTGGAGGCTGCCTTCACCAACTGCCGCCTGCTGGCTGTCGGGGAATTGGTGCAGCGATGGCCGGAGCGAACTCTGCGGGTTGGCGGCCGAAGGAGGAAGGGACAAAGTCCCCCAAATCGCCTCTGTGTCCAGGCTCTCCTGCTCGCGGTGGTCAGAGGATTGTCGGACAAAATGTAACACACACTCAATCTTTGTTAGTTTACTTCTCTGAAACAACATGACCCAGCAAGTCTTTGAATAATGGGAACAAAATACTATTCAATCGACAACTTCACAGCCTAGAATCTCCCAATGTCATAGAGATAGCTACACTTAGATGGTAGCCATCCGATGGCACCAGACAATCTTTGCGCATGTAATCACTTGTCTATTCCTCTTCTCTATTCCTAGGTGTGCTCTCCAGGTGTTAGACCTATGTGGGCTGCAGTGTGAGGAGGGAGGAGTGGGAGACCCCATGGGTGGTTGGTCCCTGACCGTGGCCCTCTGCACCATGGTTGTACAGGCCAGGGCTGGAGCTCAGAGGGCCCTCAGGAGAGAGGGGGAACGGGAAAGGAAGAGAGTGCTGGCGAAAAGGAGAGGAGAAAAGCGAGGGATAGAGGAAGAAAGTGAAGGAGGCGAGCGGCTTGTGGAGTCTGTGGGAAGAGATAAAGAGGGGTCGGAGACGTCTGGCTCTCTGGGAGAGGAGGAGCAGGTGAAGGGGGTGAGGAGAAGGATGGAGATGGAGAGTGCAGCAGTGGCAGGTCTGGCAGGCGAGCGGGGGTCAGAATCCGAGGCAGACAGCGAGGTGGTGGTGTGTGTGAGGGCCGACCTCCTTGTGAACGCCCGCTCCTGGGAGCGTGTAGGCGCAGCCCTGGGCACGACCGGCCCCCTTAAGTTACAGTGCAGGTACGTCCGCGTGGAGGAGCTCTCAGCCTCCAGCATCGGATCTCTGCTGGACCTCCTACCCCGTCATGGCCTCCTTGGGGTGGACATCAGTTACAGCTGCCTTGGGGTGGCTGGTCTAGTTCTCCTCCTCCCTCAGCTCTCTATGTTCCCCCTGCTGAGCTCGCTGTGCCTGCACTACTGCAACCTGGACATCTGCAGGGACATGCCTGGCCAGGAGGGGGCGCTAAGGGACATGTCCCAGTGGCTGGGGCAGCTCGGTCAGCTGCGCCGCCTCAGCCTCACTGCCCTCCGGCTTCCTGGACACCTCCGCATGCTGCTCAGGTAGGGCAAGCTGTCCACTGTCTCCAGCATGTGGTCATACTCTCATTAACAGCTTGAACTGTCTCATGTATTTGTTCCCCATCCTGTTTTGGCCTGCAGCTCTCTCTCCCAGCCGCTGGAGGTGCTGGAGCTTCCCTACCTGAGCCTGACCCCGGCTGACCTCTCCTACCTGTCCTGCAGCCCGCACGCCTCCTCGCTGCAGCAGCTGGACCTGAGTGAGAACAGGCTGGATGAGTCGGCCTTGCCCTCGGTGCGTCGCCTCCTCTCCCAGGCGTCCGGCTGCCTCATGCACCTCTCCCTGAGTGGCTGCGGCATCACTGACGGCCTGTTGGCGGCGCTGCTTCCATCGCTCAGCTGCTGCCGGGGCCTGAAGAGCCTGGGCCTCGCTTTGAACCCGCTCTCTGTGGCCGGGCTCCTGGACCTGGTGAGGACGGTGGTCAGGATGCCCTCCCTCAGGGAGCTGCGGTACCCTAACCCCCTGGAGGACTACCAGCCTGGGCTGCCCCCCATGCCCTCAAGTGCCCAGCTGCTGGACTGGCCCTTGGATGAGCTTGTGGAGGTCCACGAGGCCACCAGTCTCCAACTGGACAGGGTGGTGATGGAGAGTGGCCGCTCAGACCTGTTCCTGACATGCGACCTGCTCAACTACAACAAAGACTTGGTGGAGCAGTGATGTCATTGGAAGAATGACCCCCTTCATATTTTAAAACCACACAACTGTACACGTGCCTGCCTACTGTACACGTGCCCGCCTTCATGTTTTTTGTATGTTCTGTTTAACTGTGAATTAACCAATGATATCAGGCCACACCTGGCCATGATTACAGACACCTGTGTGTGTGTCCTTTGACACTATATAGACTAGTGACCCGCAGCGTTTATCGTTATACCCTGATGAAGACAGCTTGTCTGTCGAAACGTTGGTTATTAGGTTATTCAATTATTGCATCTGAGCTCCTAGAGTGTGCGGCTCTCCTTTTCTTTTTCAAGTGTTCTACTCCGTTAGCCAGCACCTCGCCGAAATAGGTGTGCGTTTCTTTCGCCTCTATTTTAAACAGAGAGGTAAAACATTTAAGGGCCTGATGCGAGTCAGAGATAGAGGACACACCCTCCCAATCAGATAACCCCAGGTCATACAGGAAATGTTGATCATTGAACGTTCTAAAATGTCTCTTTTGTAATAATGCGTGGACACGATTTAGATGGATTTGTATCTCTAATGCAGGTGCTTACTAACCAGCCAACTCGACTACCATGTACTTGTTTGTTTATACATTTGTATATACTGTACATCTGTTTGTGCCAAATGCCAGGGGATATGTTATTGGATATTCTCTATGTATAAGCAGGGGTGACATAGTTCAGATAGGGAGAGATCATCACCCCAGTCCGACTGGGCTAAGGTTACAGCTTTTACCTTCTGGTCACATGCCTTCCCGTCTGCCACCAGTGCCCGTGCATGGCTGTTGTCCAGAAATGGCAGTCTAAATTAGCCCTAGCTAGTTGTTTGTTGTTGGAAAACATTTAATCATGTGATACTGTATCTTCTTAAGTGCTTATTGGAAATAGAGCATTCTGATTATGAGAGCATTAATAGTGTTTGTGTATGGCAGCTGTCGGCTTTGTGTGTGGCAGCTGTCGGCTTTATGAGTGCATTTAAAGCAGGTGAATATTCCTTATGAAGGAAATGACATATGATTAATTGTGTTGGAAATATGTTCTATGGTATTATCTTCTCTGCTGCAGAAACCAGGTTTCCTTAAGTATTCCGATCTTTTTCCAATTATTCTTCTGCATTATGTTTTATTTATTTTTAATTTATTTTAACTTTATTTTACCCCACCACCCCTTCCCTAATTGGAGTGAACTAGTGAACAACAACGCTTAGGCCTCTACTTCCAGATTATACATACTATATACATTTTATGGACACAGTCAATTTGACAATAGTTCTATTTTGTTTGTTTTTACTCCTGAACTTCCTCTACCCTCAACCTCTCTGATCATTTTCATGATGTCCATCCGGTTTGCTTCTATATGCCAAATCTTTCTAACTGTGCTCTTTCACAAAAGCTCTCAACCTATAACCTATATACTTATAGTGGACACAGTATGCATCACATTAGTTATCTTGTTGTTATTAGTTGTTATTAGTCCCATCCTTCAGCTCCATTCAACACCACTCATCTAATATGGATCTCTTAATCCATATTGGATTTCTATTTGCCATATATTTTTCAACTCTACCGTGATGTTTCACAAAAGTTCTGAACCTTTCTATTCTCATTGTTTCTACAGATTGTAAATTGAAAATACACATTTTTGATAAAAGTATTATTATATTATTGATCGATAGACTATGACTTTTCAGATCACCCAGTAGTGCTATCTGCAGGGTTAGCTCCAGGTAAATATTGCAATCCTTCAGCCATTCCTGGACCTGTGACCAAAAACAAGCTACAAATGGACAGTACAAAAACAAAATATCTAATGATTCTGTCTCTTCGCAGCAAAATCTGCAGAGCTAGGAAGATTGTATCCCCATATAAATAACATTCTATTGGTAGCAAGAAGTTTGTATAATAATTTAAATTGAAAAATTCTAAGTTTTGAATCTGGCTGCGTTTTGCGTATCAGTTCATAAACACTATGCCATGGAATCGGTACGTCAAAAATCTCTTCCCAACTATTTTGCGATCTATATGGGACGGCTGTCAATCCTTTGGGGCCCTCAGGGGTGCGTGCTCAGTCCCCTCCTGTACTCCCTGTTAACCCATGACTGCATGGCCAGGCACGACTCGAACACCATCATTAAGTTTGCCGACGACACAACAGTGGTAGGCCTGATCACCGACAACGATGAGACAGCCTATAAGGAGGAGGTCAGATACCTGGCCGTGTGGTGCCAGGATAACAACCTCTCCCTCAACGTGACCAAGACAAAGGAGATGATTGTTGAATACAGGGAAAAAAAGAGGACTGAGCACGCCCCCATTCTCATCGACGGGGCTGTCGTGGAACAGGTTGAGAGCTTCAAGTTCCTTAGTGTCCACATCACCAACAAACTATCATGGTCCAAACACACCAAGACAGTCGTGAAGAGGGCACGACAAAGCCTATTCCCCCTCAGGAGACTGAAAAGATTTGGCATGGGTCCTCAGATTCTCAAAAAATTCTACAGCTGCACCATCGAGAGCATCCTGACTGGTTGCATCACCGCCTGGTATGGCAACTGCTCGGCCTCCAACCGCAAGGCACTACAGAGGGTAGTGCGTACGGCCCAGTACATCACTGGGGCCATCCAGGACCTCTATACCAGGCGGTGTCAGAGGAAGGCCCTCAAAATTGTCAAAGACTCCAGCCACCCTAGTCATAGACTGTTCTCTCTGCTACTGCACGGCAAGCGGTACCGGAGTGCCAAGTCAAGGTCCATAACACTTCTCAACAGCTTCTACCCCCAAGCCATAAGACTCCTGAACAGCTAATCATGGCTACCCAGACTATTTGCACTGCCACCCCACCCCATCTTTTTACGCTGCTGCTACTCTGTTAATTATTTATGCATAGTCACTTTAACTCTACCCACATGTACAGTGGGGAAAAAAAATATTTAGTCAGCCACCAATTGTGCAAGTTCTCCCACTTAAAAAGATGAGAGAGGCCTGTAATTTTCATCATAGGTACACGTCAACTGTGACAGACAAATTGAGAAAAATAATTCCAGAAAATCACATTGTAGGATTTTTTATGAATTTATTTGCAAATGATGGTGGAAAATAAGTATTTGGTCACCTACAAACAAGCAAGATTTCTGGCTCTCACAGACCTGTAACTTCTTCTTTAAGAGGCTCCTCTGTCCTCCACTCGTTACCTGTATTAATGGCACCTGTTTGAACTTGTTATCAGTATAAAAGACACCTGTCCACAACCTCAAACAGTCACACTCCAAACTCCACTATGGCCAAGACCAAAGAGCTGTCAAAGGACACCAGAAACAAAATTGTAGACCTGCACCAGGCTGGGAAGACTGAATCTGCAATAGGTAAGCAGCTTGGTTTGAAGAAATCAACTGTGGGAGCAATTATTAGGAAATGGAAGACATACAAGACCACTGATAATCTCCCTCGATCTGGGGCTCCACGCAAGATCTCACCCCGTGGGGTCAAAATGATCACAAGAACGGTGAGCAAAAATCCCAGAACCACACGTGGGGACCTAGTGAATGACCTGCAGAGAGCTGGGACCAAAGTAACAAAGCCTACCATCAGTAACACACTACGCCGCCAGGGACTCAAATCCTGCAGTGCCAGACGTGTCCCCCTGCTTAAGACAGTACATGTCCAGGCCCGTCTGAAGTTTGCTAGAGTGCATTTGGATGATCCAGAAGAGGATTGGGAGAATGTCATATGGTCAGATGAAACCAAAATATAACTTTTTGGTAAAAACTCAACTTGTCGTGTTTGGAGGACAAAGAATGCTGAGTTGCATCCAAAGAACACCATACCTACTGTGAAGCATGGGGGTGGAAACATCATGCTTTGGGGCTGTTTTTCTGCAAAGGGACCAGGACGACTGATCCGTGTAAAGGAAAGAATGAATGGGGCCATGTATCGTGAGATTTTGAGTGAAAACCTCCTTCCATCAACAAGGGCATTGAAGATGAAACGTGGCTGGGTCTTTCAGCATGACAATGATCCCAAACACACGGGCAACGAAGGAGTGGCTTCGTAAGAAGCATTTCAAGGTCCTGGAGTGGCCTAGCCAGTCTCCAGATCTCAACCCCATAGAAAATCTTTGGAGGGAGTTGAAAGTCCGTGTTGCCCAGCGACAGCCCCAAAACATCACTGCTCTAGAGGAGACCTGCATGGAGGAATGGGCCAAAATACCAGCAACAGTGTGTGAAAACCTTGTGAAGACTTACAGAAAACGTTTGACCTGTGTCATTGCCAACAAAGGGTATATAACAAAGTATTGAGAAACTTTTGTTATTGACCAAATACTTATTTTCCACCATAATTTGCTAATAAATTCATTAAAAATCCTACAATGTGATTTTCTGGATTTTCTTTCCTCACTTTGTCTGTCATAGTTGACGTGTACCTATGATGAAAAGTACAGGCCTCTCTCATCTTTTTAAGTGGGAGAACTTGCACAATTGGTGGCTGACTAAATACTTTTTTTCCCCACTGTACATATTACTTCAACTACCTCAACTAGCCGGTGCCCCCGCACATTGACTCTGCACCGGTACCCCCCTGTATATATAGCCTCCTTACTGTTATTTTACTTCTGCTCTTTTTTGGTGTTGTTGTTTTATTTTACTTTTTTATAAAAAAAATAATGCACTGTTGAACAGTTGAAGAGAGGATGCTCTCAGCTTTTTGCATTTATATATATTTTTTTTCTCAGCTGTCTATTTTACAACTGATATATTGATATGGATTTGAGATACGGAGCATGTATCTAGCTAATGTGTATTGAGTTTCCACTTACCCATGCAATTTCAGAATGTGGGGGGGACATGTCCACATAAGTGCACATAAATATATAGGCAAATTAATCTCTATTTAACAAAAAATATTGAGTCCTATTTTAACAGTAAAATATAACAACAATTAACTATTGCCCAAAATTCATGACAATCACTGGATTAGGTTGCAGTGCACATCAAATATCTTGAATCATGCATTGCTGCTTAGATGAAACACGTTATTTGATTACCATGGGGCGGCAGGTGGCT